TAACAGAAAGGAAAAGTCCTTAATACCAGAGGACACGAATTACCCAGCAACTGGAAGCATCGGATTCCAAGTCCTAGCAATCCAGAAAGGCCTGCACTTGTGTAACAAGCTATCAGCAGAATGAACACCTCTGTGGTTAAACATTCCATTCATACACAGTGTCACACAGCAATCTAAATTACGAGTGTTCACATCTTACACATATGTAAAATAGAATGAATGGACATACAAAGAGATACATATCCTGCGTACACTGAAAAGTACTCACAGAGCTTGTATCAGTACGAGATTGGCCACATAGAGAGAGATGCTTCAATTTTGGAGCTTGTAATCAACAGCTGAGTAATGTGTATCAGACAGTTGCTTGATTTTAAAGCCATCATTTGCTTACAATTTCAGAAAATTCAACACCTTTCTCAGAAAGGTGCTCCCTGTACACACACTCACATCACTTTGTATGCAATAGCACTGCATCTCCGTTCACTGCCTCAAGTATAGTCATGCTGTACCTTATCAAGCTGGAAACCATTTGGGTATATAGCAATGAAAAGTCAGGGTTGCTGTCTTGTCTGCAGGCAGCATGACCGCTTCCCTGGTTTAATTTGCAGTAGGGCCTTTTCCTTTTAAAAAGAAAGTAGTGTGTACAAAACCACAGGATCTTTAAGAAAAACAACCAAGAGTCATCTAAACAAGACCCAACGTCCTCCTTTATGGTACTGAAAGTAATGCAAGTATATTTCATAATTCATACTTCATTCATACTAATGAATCCTGGCTGTCATCTGTGAGATTTGATCTGAATCACTGTTTCTCATTTGCCAGCTGGGTCAACCTGAAAGCCTTTCTCTAATAAAAATGTAACACCTCTGGATCAAAAAGGTAAAATAAAAAGCGACTGGAGTAACTTCCACATCAGTTCATGTATGCTGTTATTTTTTATTGTAATTAATTTCTGGAAACCTCAACTCTATCATTGACCTCTGTTTTAATATTTCACACTGTTTTCCTAAAGCAGCTTTTCAACCTTGCTAAGTAACAGCCCTTATTCAAATTTTGTTGATTGCAGTCCTGGTATAATCTGCCTGTCTCTACACTCTCAGTGAATTTCTTCATATCGAGGGCTGTAATTTTATATATTTCTTCTAAAAATTTCCAGTCATTTAAGGACTTGACTCTGTATTTACTAGATGCAGTCACAAGACTCATTGATTAGTTATTCCACTGAGCTATTTTATATATAAAATCAGTATCGCAACTGGTAAAAACCCCAGTCAGTGTTTTACCACTAAAATAACAGGCATCAGTAGCTACAAAAGAAAAACCAAAGCCTCAACGTGTGCCTACATTTCCCTCAGTTAAAACAGTATTAAGACCATATGCAATTGTAATGTCAATTATCATATTCCTATTGGAAAGGCATACCTTGTCTGCCCAAGCCTATTGGCGACAGCCAGTTTGTGAGGTTAGAAAAATACCGACATAAAACTGCAGTCTTCCCTCCAATACTGAGAACAGCATTCCTGCACATGCTAATAATAACTAGTATTTGAACTAGCATTTGTTTGCATATCCAATAATAAAATGCTGCTGTACTTCTCTACGTATTCAGGTGCATAATTCTCACAAACATTGGTATACACAGTGTTCATACGTGCAGCTGCAGAAGATCTCTCCCTCCAACAAAAAGAGTGAGATATTTACTTGCAGCGGGTCTAATTTAGCATTAAACGCCAGACAAACATCACAAGTAATTTAATTAACAGCATTGCTTTGGAAGAGATTCATGACTTTGCCACGACATGACAATACACATCTGCAAAGCAAAAGGAGACCCTGATATGCACCATGCTCGGAGGCTCAGGTTGCGGGGGAGGGGGAAGCTGCTAGCCAGTATGATTGCTAACTTTGCCCACAGACACCAATACAGGAAAGAAACATGGCATCACTAAACCTGTGAATACAGTATTTATTTCATAGGAAACCATAAAAAATGACAGGAAAACGACACCAGATTAAACATCAGTAGGAGGGAGGATGGAATAATCTAGCAAAAATTTAATCCCTTTACCTAGTATTACTGCATGACACTAACACATTTTATTATTCTAAGCAGCGCCTACAAGAAACCATTCAGTGAAAGGCATCATCAAATTGCAGCAGAATAATAAAGTTTGTCTGCCTCTGATAAGAGTTACAGATGCATTACTGCTAACTAAAAAAAGAATTCTCCCCTTGACACACACACACACACACACACACATACAAATCTGCAGCTCTCCCACCCTCAGTCTGCCTGTAAAGCATTTAGCAGAAATAGCTATTTTTAGAAGAGGTGAAATCTCAGCATACCTTCAAATCAAGTGCTTCCGACGTTCAGCATTCATTGCCGAGAGCTCTGCAGTCTACTGTGTCAGATTACAACCTTGGAGAGAGAGGCAGCAGCAGCAGTGGCGGCGGCGGCAGCAGCAGCATTGGTGTGTTTGCACAGCTTGTATTCAGGCTAGAAATGATTCATTAGTTGTCTGCAGGGAGGCAGGGTGAAAAAGAGAGAGCGAGCATCATCAGCCATGCAGCAGCTGCCAGAGCCTATGAAACAGCAGTGCTCACACACACATACGCACACAAAGATGGCTTTCCCTATTTGCCAGTTTCTCTTTCACATAGTATTAACCCTGACACAGCAGCAGGGAGCAGAGACAGGAGCTGACAAGCAGCAAGTGGGATCAGGGCAGGGTGTTTCTGTGAGGGAGGACTCAGGGAGAGGCGGGTGCTGGGAGATTTTATTTTACCTCCAAGTAATGCTATCACAGGATCTTCTCAGTAGGTCATCTGTGGCCTACTGGCACGAACCAATGAACTGTAAATGTGAGCTGCAATTTTTTTTCACAGCCAAGCCTGCCCAATGGAAGGCTTAGAAACTCAAATGCAGAAGGGTATTAAGACAGATTACCTGGAGCATCCTAACCATTCTGTCTTTCCTCTCCTAAAGAAAGAAAGAAAGCCGTATCCAATATATTCACACAAAAACTTGTGAGTGTGCCACCAGCCTCTCCCCAGCAACAAGAGGGAGGCACTCTAATGGGATACTTTAAATAAATGTGTTTTAAAACATCTGACTTTGATCTGTTTTTTTTTTAAATTATTATTCTAACTCAGAATTTGACCACTGTGGGAATGAGTTCATTATAATATAATGAATTCTTAAGGCTCAGAAAAATTAAATTATCAAGAAAATATGAAGTTTTGTGGAGTGTGTTTTCCTTTTTGCATTTAAAAGAGGAAAGAAATATTGTGCTCCCAAGGCACTATTTTATTAAATTCTGTTAAAGTACATTGCAGAAGATCAGAGTGTGATCTTCAGAGTGACAAGTTTCCTCTAAAAAATGTCCCCCGTTGTAGGAATGAAACAGATAAAAATCAGTCAATGTGTGCTTGACGTTCAGGAAGACCCCAGATGTCTTATTTGTAACATTCTAGAAAGACTGCAGCTTTCTGAATGGGAGGTCCAACTTCCAAAAATAAGGTACCCGAGACCACTCCTCTCCTGTGCCAATCTCAGCCCCAAACGACCTTCCCAGAGATTACTCATGTACCCAGAAAAAAACAAAACTCTGGTATTTTCAGAAAGAAAAGCTGTTCCTACTCAGGATCATATGTTCCTTCCCAGATTAGATTACGGCTTTGATCATCAGGCAAGTGCAGCCTTACTTTTATACTGATCTGTGGCATAAATTGGTTTTTTTGGGTGTATTTTTGTTTGTTTGTTTGTTTATTTTTCCAATTCTTATTTTGGCAAGTTAGATTTTTTTCCCTCAATTGAGCTATGTGCAAGCTTTAAATCCAAACATTCCTTCCAAGTATGACCATATCAGCACTCCTCGCACACTGTACTTGCAACAAATACAGATCTGCAGCATGTGACGCCAAGTAATAGCAGAAGATTCCAGGTGACACAATTTAGAAATCTGTCTCGCCTAAGCTAGAGACCAAATGAACATTTCCATTGCTTTACATGCATTTGTACAGGCAAAAGAAACAATTCCTATGCCAGGTACCTGGAAATAAGTCAGATCTCTGTAAAATCACATAATACAGGACACTGAACAAAACCAACTCTTCTTATTCCTTCTCATAGGCAGGCATGAAGCACGTATACTCTGGACATGGGTGTGTGGGGGTACGTGTGTAAAATATATACATTACCACAACCTTTCTGGAAACGTCATGTTCAAAAATATGGAAAATACAAGTAAATTAAATAACTCAAAAATAGCACACAGTCTTTTAAACCATCAGCAAAGATTTACTGGTATAAGGATTTTAACATACATGCTTTACCACAGGCAGCTGTTTAGAAATCTAGGTTTCAAACTTGAAATATTCAACCTACTGAGGCGTGGCAGATGAGGACTCACATTTTAGCAAAACTAGAGGAGGTTACGTCATTGTTAACATAAACAGTTTAATATTTATTCAGTAATTTATATTGCCAAACATCAGCATCAGATCTGATGTGGCTTGACATTCATTTTTGCTTGTTCAGGGCTGGATGCAGCTATGCTGATGAGGGGCTGCTGGTAAATAGGAATGCACATTAATGGCACTGCTGAAAGGAGACAGAATTGCAGTCCTGTATGTCACGCCAAGAAATCTTTCCAGAATAACAATCCTGATAAAATGATCGTACCTGCTGATATACAGAAAGATGTCAGACATTTTTCTGTATGCAATAAGGGTCTAGGAAGTGCCACTTTAATAGCAAGAGTGCATACATTTTCACAGACCAAATGCAATCTCTCCACAGATGTTATTCCTGGTCCCTACAAATTACATACAACAATTATTTAAAATACAACTCAGAAGGCCTACCTTTCTCTTACCAGTTTTAGAATAGCAGTGCATTGTTTCAATAAAACCAGACAAAATTATGATGAATCCTCCCCTCCTTACTTCAGTGTAAAATGGGAGTTAGAATTGAAAAAATTGTTAACAGCACTCACCTTGCTAGCTGCCAAAACACACGTGGGGCTTCCTGTGGAGATAAGTGATAATTGTCTCTGAAGCCACAACAGCTCTTTCTGAGATTGTTTCAGTAGCTCTTCTGTGTTGCTCAGCTTCTGCCCCATCAGGCCTTCCTGAATGACAAATATTTCAATTTCTGTTTTCTCAAATATGTGGCAATAGCAACAGAATTTCTCTTAGCCGAATTTCTGGGAGAACAATAATATTTGCTCTAGCAATGTATTTATGCATTTGACTTTCTTTACTTAATAATCTTCTGCCACCAGAAGATTGGGATTTCTCTTCCATAGCATCAGCAGCAGAACATCCTCCACTTTGCCCTACTCCTTCATGCTTAGCAGTTAAGCTCCTCTGCTTATTAATCAAGACCAGCAGTAATAGCTCAGGTTGAGGCAGGACAACTTGCACAATTCAAACGTTTTGGAACTGGATGTTCTCTTATATGATGTGCTGCTGTAAAAGAAGGCTCTAAGATGCTGCTGATAGGTAACAGTATATAAATGAGTACAAGATAATGCTGAGAAGAGTTCGTTACTAATACAGTAATTAACAGTTTGGTAACTACATAGTATCAGAACACCCTTGCTTCTATGAAGACTAACAATCTCTTTGCTGCATTAGGCAAAGTATGGCCAATGTGTTAAGGGAAGTGATCCTTCCCCCTCCACCCAGCACTGGTGAGGCTGCACATGGAGTACTGTGCCTAGTTCTGTGCCCCCCAGTACAAGACAGACATGGATATACTGGGAAGAGTCACATGTTGGGCCATCAAACTGATAGAGGGACTGGAGCACATCTCCTGAGAGGAGAGGCTAAGAGAGCTGGGATTGTTCAGCCTGGAGAAGTAGAGGCTCAGGGGATCTCATCAATACATACCTGAGGGGAGGATGCAGTGATGACAGAGCCAGGCTCTTGTCAGTGGTGCCAGAGCCAGAAGAGGCAACAGACACAAACTGGAGCACACTCATTCTGTCTTAACATCAGGACACAGTTCTTCAATCTGTGGGTAACAGAGTGCTGGCACAGGTTGCCCAGAAGGTTGTGGGATCTCCTCCTGGGAAATCTTCAAAAGCTGCCTTCATATGGGCTATCTGCTCTAAGGAGTTCTGCCTCAGCAGGGCAATGGGACCAGATGATGTCCAGAGTCTCCTTCAACCATAACCTTTCCATGACCTGATTTAGCTGTTTACTGGCATAGTTATGTATTAAGATCAGAACTGGATTTTAACCTACCCTTAAGCATCCTAGCCGATTTTTGAGTTCTTCGCACTCCATCTGCAGCACTTGGATCTCCAGATCTTTTGTACTTTTTGACTGTTTGTTGATATTTTGCAGATGATGGGCCTTACCATTGACTAAGTGCATTTTCTGCTTTAAAGGAAAAGCTCTGGTAATAGTTTTTGTGATGACAGCAGAGCTATTGGATGGCAACATCAATGAAGTTGAAGGGCTGACATCCTAGTAAAGAGAAAACACATTTTTATGTCATTTTTGCTAAAACTGTGTCTGGGGGAGGAGAGTAATTCAAATTTTTCACAAATCATAACATAAGTGCATTATTTGAAAATTCTCTTTTTAAGATCTTTCACTGATACAGTCAATGAGCAAGAAACAATCTCAACCGATCAACTCAGAGAAGTGAAAAGCAGAAAAAATCTTTCATGCTTTTTTTTTTTTTCATTCAGTGAATGGCAGCAAGCCACAACCACTTTGATTATACAGATATCAATGTATTTACCACTTTGATAGCAACACAGGACTGCTGTTTAACCACCATTTCTGGTTGCTTACTGGTGCTTCATCACATAACAAGTTGAGTTATGCTTGCAGATGCCTTGGACACGTGCCTCACTTAGAAGCCGTGCTCTAGATATGCCTGAGATGCTGTATTCCAAAGGCACATTCAACCATGCTGCAAACCCTTCAGTCAGGGAAGGGAGCCACCTGTTAGGCAACATACAGGAAATAAGACTGTCTTGGTATGTCCATCAAACTACTCAAATGCCTTTTTTTTTTTTGGTAACATATAGCTACCCTTCTCAAAACCTGTTATCAGGGTAAACCTTTGCAAAAACGTAGTGACCTGCAATTAGTTCTATGCACTTGTCAACTGGCATACAACGGCAGCTACATATAAAGCTCCTTCATTTTACAGTTAAGCTCAGTCTAAGCCAGAAGTCAAAAAATGCTAACATCTTACGACATGCTTATAAGCATATCCATTCCACTCTCACCCTGACACTTGCAACCACTGCAACATTTGATGAAACTGCTGATTTCTCAATGCAGCCTACCTTTAAGTCGAGCTTGGTGCAGCTTTAACGTAGAAATAATAATTTACTCCAACTGGTGTCATACACTGCAATGAATGTTAACGTGGCTTAAAACTGACCTTACCATCTAAAGCCTTGTAGGGCTTCAGTTACAGCAGTGTCAAACAACCCTTCCATCATCACCTCACATTTTGCTCGTCATTCACACCTAATTCCAGAGAAAACAACTAAATTCTCAGTTCTGTGATATGTAAACCCCACAGTCTATGCAGTGCTTCCTTATTTTCCCTACAAACATTTTGCCACTTTTGCTGAGATCTGTCTGAGCTGCATGACCAAAGAACAGCTCTCTCTGCTGCTGCCTTATTCATCTCTCCAGGTCTTTTTTAATTTTTCTGTATTGGAAGTGTGGAAGAGAAAAAAAAAAGAAAAAAAAGAGGGTGGGAAGTTTATTTTGGGTTACTTTCTCCACGTGGGCACTCTGAGCACAGCTTTGCCAAACACACAGCATTACGTGAACCCTCCTGAGCTGCACCCACAGTCAACAACTTTTTTTTTTTTTAATAATATTATTTTTTTAATGCTATTTACATTTATACCTTCCTGAACATCACCTCAGCTCAGCAGCATCGAGGGTCGGCCCACACCTGCCCAAACCCCTCCCATGAGCTCTAACGCACAGTTCACATTCCCACAAGCAGCACGATGCCATATCTAAATTTTAAAAGGAAAAAAAAAAATTCTCTGACGTTAACCAGCCTAAACGTTAAGTTATAGAGACTTATACACAGATGAACCTGCTGCAGTGCAGGGTGACCGTGCCTGCATTCCTCAACAGCACCGGGCTGGGACAAAGGCTGGCTGAGCACTTATTGCCACTGGCAAAGCATGGCAGGGTAGGGAACAAGAAATCTAAGTATCTGCACCTAAAATAGGTCTGGATGGTGAGAAACACAGACCTAAATTAAAAGACCACCTACTCGCCCCCCTCCCTTTTCAGCCGCTTCACCCCTCCTTCCCAACTCCTCTACCTCCCCCTTCAGGAAGAACGTGCTACAGCGCGGCGCTGCAGGGCCGCTGCCCGCCCTTTTTGCTCATCGCGGCGCTGCACGGCCGCTGCCCGCCCTTTCCCGTGCACGTGGCGGCCGTTGCTCTCGCGCCGCCGCTTCACGTGTCCGAGGCGCCCGGCCCCGCTGCACGCGGCGCTCTGAAACCGTTTGTTTTGTGGTGAGCGCAAAGAGGGAGAAAGAGTGAATTCAGCTGTGATGTGTTAGATGTGTTCCATTTGCACGAGTATTTAACAGGAAAGTCAAGCATAAAGCTGTCGAGTAAATGGTGCAGTAGAAATTCTGAGAGATGCCGAACACTTAAACGTTCATTGATTATATTTTTTTTAAAGCAATCTTAACGTGTTTGTATTTGCTGAAGGGAGAAGCACTGAGAGCTCTGGAGAGCCGATCCATTAGCACACGGAAAACATGAGGAGGAACAAGCATCGGATGAATCTCCCTACCGCTGATAACAGCATGGCTGGGCAAACCTTCCTGTGGGGGGGAAATGGGGCACTGCCTCAGCTGGAAGGGCATCTCGAGAATATCTTGTTTCCTTCATGTAAAACTGCAGGCAGCACAGCAGTTGGACCATTAAACCAGAATACTCATAGCATGGAAGCAAAATTGGTTTGCCTCTGATTCAGGCCAACGCCTTGAGAGCTGCTTCAGCAATCGGCAGCGAGGGCACTTGACACACGTAACAGCTCCTTACCTTGCTCTTCTTAGGAGTTACTGAGCTTCCTTTCCGTCTGCTTCTGTCCTCAGCTCTGAAGTGTGGGAGCTTTTCAGGTGTCTGTTTTGCTTTCTTGTTGCCCTTTTTGGACTGCAGAATGTAACGTGTCAGTATCTTATTAAAACGCATTGCAGCACATCTAAAATACTTCAGTGAGTTGGCTGGTATTACATAAATTTGCTCTTGCATAGTAAAGCACCGGATTCAAACTACAGCCTTGAAGCTGAAGAAGGCTGATGGGACAAATGAGATGTGCCCTTCACACATTGGCTGTGGATGCATACATTTGTGGCAGAGCCCAGACACCAGTTCTGGGTCTGTGCAGTGCTCAGCATGGTGTCAATAGTGCTAATGCTAGGAAGTGGGAGACTAGGTACCACTGCAAACCAGATTATAAGAAACATTATTGGAAGCATTTTGCTCCTTGCGAGGTATTTTGTCTGTTTGTCAATTCTAGGAAGAACCTCATGTTAGGTTTCTGTAGAACGTGGGTCAAAGAGCAGGGTTACAAATAGCATGCATTTAAACGGTAAGTTGTATTACTCCATCAGATTGCTCTAGCAAAGAAGTGCATTTTCTGCTGCATATCCCTGGAATTAAATGGGATAAAGAAGCACAAAGAGCGTGGGACATTTGTTCTCACTGCTGTTACCCAATATAGAAAGACAGGGTACAGAGTAAATATGCATTATTATTCATTGTTATTTGAAGTATACTAGAGAGATTAGTGTGCATTGCTTTTGTAAATTACAAGATATTGCTGAAATCACATGAACTTTACGGTGTGCTACATTCAATATGAGCAAGTGTTGCACCATAGACCTGGGAAACCTAAACAACATCAAGGAGCCAGGGAAATGGCCTCACACCATATTCCAGGTCAGGATTCCTTCTTTCAGGAAGATTGATTCCTCTTTCCTGTGCTCATAGATGTTTAAAGGAAATTTCAAATTGGAGGTTCCTGTTATCACACACTGCATGCTGTCTTACGAGCACCAGTGAAGCAGATGGTATTTTACTTTGCACAACATAATAATCTAGGATAACCTAGACCACTCCCAAAGAGTAAACTAAAGTCATCTGTTTTCCCTAACACCACTACCCATATTGTCATCCTTTCTCTCTAATCATGAGTCAGGTTGTCTCTATTTCATCATCATGACTTGACATTTTGTACCATTTGGGAAGTGGATTTCATGTTTGGGAAACGTTGGACCTTATAGTAGCAGACAAGAGGCTCTCTGCAGAAGAGGAATTTCTGAGTCAATTCTCTTCTCTAGCCAGCTCTCAAAATGCTCTAACTTCTGCCATAAAACAGTAGGAGGAAAAAGCAGTAAAACAACCCAAATATAAAGGAAAAGTGAATTGTTTCTAATAAAGCAGTTAGCTGCTTGAGATTGAAAAGAAGCCTTCTAGTAGCTGTTCTGCAGTCACTCATTGTGAAGCAAAAGCGGTCATTAGAACCACTTGTACTACAAGCACAAACCATCTGTCACAATTTTAGCTTTGATGATTTCTGCTAGTTATAGCCCAGGACAATTGGGAGGAATCCAGAAGTCCTTTTTGAACCATTAATGCACCATTCCCTCCTCTCTTACTCTCTTTCATTTACCTGACATTTTGCCAGTGGGAAACATCATTTCAAACGACACAGAAACAGAAAAGGTAGCAAATATATAGAATAACTGGAAACATATTTGAGAGATGAGAGCACAGAACTGTATACAGGGGAAGTTACTGCATTTAAAAACATTTTGATGAGAATTAAACAATTTTTTTAGAAAAACTTTTCCAGAAAGTTACTGCTGGACACTGAATTTGACCATTTACATCATCCATGTAGGCGCTGCAGACAAGTATGAACTCCTTTTCTCTACTAGATTGCTGTATAATAAAACCAGATTCAAAGAGAAATAAAGCTGAACAAGGTCTTGGCTGGGGCCAGAGCTGGCACAGCTCATTGTGGCAGCGATGGTGAGAGGAAGGGAGGTAATGCTGGTGCTAATGGGAGCAATCTGCACAGCAGCAGGGTTGGCACTGGCACCATGTACTACCGCCACTAGGAAAAACAAAATGAAGGTTTCCTCAGAGGGATCTGCTACTTCCTGGCCTTGCTCACAACTTCTTTCCCCCTTTTTCTTCCTATAGCTTATTTCACCTCCCAAGAGCAGGGAAAGAAAAATGAAAACCATTTTCCAATCCAAGCTCCCATTTCCAAACCAGTAGGTTCCCCGAAACCTCACAAAGCTGTTGGCTTTCTCTCAAACTGCAATAAATCATTCATTTAAATAAGAACATCATGCACATTTCTATTTTCTTAAATAACCACTATTCTACACAAGTCAGTTGTTTTCCTTTTGCGTGTTACTATATTGAGTAGCAGTGTTATATACATCAACGTGTAAGCACAGGACTTAAAAAGTTTATTGTAGGTGGCAATGGACCAGTTCTTTAATCACAAAAAAAAAAAAAAAAAAAAAAAAAAAGTATTTTAATGCAATCAAAATAATTTCAGATTTACTTTCCCAATACTAGATGATAGGGCAGTCAATGAGAACGCTTATTTCTATGTCTGTGTAGGATATAAAAAACGCTTAGTGGAAAAAGCAAGAAAAGCATCCTGGCCTACAAGACTGTGAGTCATTGTTCATAGCACAGTGCTTGCTTATAGCAGTGAACCACCTTAAAAGAGAAGAATGTAGAGAGCCAACCTGTCAGCAAAACCCAACTCTGCTGTACAAAGATTGTAAATCCAGATGGATTACAGGGCAGCAATGGGGCTTTGCCTTTATTTTGTTCAAACTCACTTGAAGTTCACAATAATGTCTGCTATTTCTTAGGAATAAATAACAAACAAAAATCCCACACATATCGGCTGTAATTAAAAGTATATTTCAACACTTGAATTTTATCCTCCTGTGATTTTATCTGTTGTTTTTTTTTTTTCTTTTTTTTTCCTAATTTGCTCCACCTTTTTAATTTTCCTCATATCACAAGGAAAATCACCGAATGCTGTAGCGGAAAACTGGATGACTAACAAAAGCCTCCTGAACAGCTCCAGCACCAAGTGAACACAAACACGCCCAGCTGTCATGTTCTGCACAGACCCAGAGCATCAGGGCCATTCTCCCTACTTGTCCTGGCAGTGGGTGACCTGACCATCTGGGATCAAGTTCTCAGGCAGGGCAAGATTACTGTAACCTAAAATTAGCCTCCGAAATTCATACGTAGGCTGTCAACTATCCAACCATTTCAGAAATGCAGATCATACATTATGCTACTAAATAACTTCAAAGTCCTTTCTGGGAACCTGCTATAGTCATTATAACAGTTCTGAACCAAATTGTAGGTGATTTTTTTTTTTTTTTAATAGCCTTGTGAGCAGTATCTGTAGGTTAAAAAAAAGCTTTATATTGTAGGTGTAACTTAAATGTACTCTTCTACACATGCAAATTAATTTATTTTAAAATGGATGTGCCACTTCGTAGGCAGTTTAGGAAGCTTTTTAATGTGGGGAATGTGAAAAAGATCTACAATTATTCTAACAAAAATGCCTAAGAATCTATTGATGAGGGACAGTAATAAGGTCACAAGGATATACAAATTGGGTAACAGTTGAATATAGGTCCACAAGGCATTGTCTGGAAACCATTCTGTGATGACCATCGGCAAACACCCAGGAGTCAGAGAGAAGTACATCTAAACTAGAATCCTTAATTATTTGTTGTGGATATAAAAAGCACGTCCTCAGCAGAGAGGAAAGAAAGAGGGACAGATTGAGAGGGCAGTGACAGCCTCCTGGGCCTGTGAGCTTCGGCTTTAAACATGATCTGTGTCTCACTTCAGACTTACCAGGGACATCAAGAGCGCGCCTTCTGTCAGAAGTTTCACACTCTCTAGAGCAACTCTTCTTTCATAGAATGAGTGTGTGACTTCAGGCACAGTATATCCAGAATAGCCCACCTTTGTAGCCAAATGAGGTTTGCAACTGTTATAACGTTATGGCTCACAAACACGATGCTTTCTGATCTCCCCTTTCTAAACTATGTGCCAAGCAGTAGGTTCTTGTTTTAATTAATTAGTTCACATACTAATCCTATAGCAGAAAGCTTTTAGTAACAAGGTTTTATATTGCTCTTATATAACTCTTAATGTCTAGATTTAAAAAAAATGCTTATTTTAGACATTTACTTATCACACCACAAAAAAGCAAATAAAATATAAATAAATAAATAAATAAATAAAAACAACGAGAAACACCAGGCAAGCCTTCAAACAAGTTCTGACATATCCTAGATTGGAAAAGGTTACTCACTACTTTGTCTTCCTCTTGATCTTTAATCAAGGACTTAGCTGCCTTTGGAAATGATTGATTTGCCTTGGGGGAATCCAGTACAGAACAGCCATGATCCAGAATGTGACTGATAGCTTTCTTCTGTAATAGAGGGTGAAAAGTGGCTTGAGAGCATTTCAACTCCCTAGAGAGAAGCTTAAATTGGCATACAGATCTTTTGACTTAATGAAGTCAGACAGCATCATTTCACTAGTTACAACTTCAAGGCAACAGACATACTACTCAAATATTTCTCCTTTCTCAACACCTTTGTTCTCTTCCTTCCATAACATTCATGGCCCACCTTGTGTCTTTAATCCAAGGTCTAGGGAGGCTGGGTCAACATCTGACACGCCTTCCAAAAAAGTGTCTTCCCATTTTTCCCAGTTGGACTTCTCAAAAGATAACCCAAATAACACAGGATAAATAAGTGGAACTCAAAAGATTCCCATTTTCCTCTGAAAAGTTTTATTGCAAATGAGTAGTCACAGTGTTTTTTACCTTTGAAACTAGTACTTTCTGTACTAGCCACTGAGACATATATCCTCTTTTATTTGAGTAATGGCTGATGGCCACAGTGTAAATGTAATGTAAATGTAATCACCACTTGAATGCATCGTTTTTAAATTTAATTTCACAGTGACCAAGTGAAACAGAACTATATTGCTTAATAAGCTCTTTGAGATTTTAACTTCTACCTTACTCTACCATGGTTCTGTTCTTCTGTATTTATAATATACTCCAGTTTAATTAAAATATACTTCTGCTTAGGCTGCATATCTGCCTCCAAGTAATCAGAGGTAAGTATAAGATCCGTTGCCCTTTGCAGCATCTCTCCAAGTTGATGGAAAGACTCCAACAGGAGTCAATTTGAGTCTGAATTAACTGCCAGCAGACAAACTCCAAGCTTTTGGAGCCTCTCTGAGATTAACATTCTTCTTATTGATTTCTAGGCATCAGTGACTACATCATCAGCCCTACTAATCTGGAGTAGCATCACTGCACATAGCGAGCTTGTGCTTCATTGGTGTACCAAGATAAAGCCTGTGACAAAAGACAGATCTCCTTGGGGACTGTAGCATTTAGGCTCGTGCTTCAGCAGAACTGTCTATTTTAGCAGCAAGTTCACGGCTGCTTATGAATATATTAGTGAAATATTTATTACCTGCTAAAATACTAATGATCTGATTTTTTTTTTTTTATAGACAAGTGAGCAAGGCTATTTAAAAACAAACAAACTTATGCTTCAAACAAAATCAACATGATTCCCAAAACGAAACTAAACTCAAACTTTACCTGTAAGGAGATAAACAGTAGCACAAACTTCACTTACTGGATTAACACGTTACTGTACAGTGGTGCTGCTTTTAAGCTACAACACAGCTTTGTTTCACCCACAATTTCGTTCCACACTACACTGAAAAGTCAGAGAAGACTGAACTTAAAAAGCTTCCTACTCCAACTGAAGTGAGCAGGTGATTCTTGTCTGACAAACAACATTCAGAATGAGGGCCCATACTCACACATAACAAACAGCTGTGACAGTTTTCCAAATAAAAATGTGCAAAGTGAATATAAAGGAAATTGAACAGTAGTACTCTGAATTATTGAAAAGCTAGCTATGCAGAACAAACATAATTAAAGGGTCTCATTATCTTCTAAGTAATCATTGTAAATAATGCTTTGGATAATTACTTCATTAGTTTTCAAAACACTGGCTTTTATTCTCCTCTGAGATTCCATCCACTGACTCTAATGTGAACAAACTGCCAAAAGGGAAAATCAAAAGGATGCAAGCTGCAAATGCAGTGTTTAAATCTGCATGAACTTAGAACCAGAATGTTTTGATTTTTTTTCCCCCCACAACTTTTCAGAAGGTTAAAAGCTGTTTGATTTTTTAATCTATGTATTTTTTCTCCTCAGTTGCTTTCTGATGCAGTTAGATCAGTTTCCTATCAGCTATATTTACACTTCTAAGATGGCTGGCAGCCATGTGGATAAAATTAAGATTAGTCTCTGTCACCAGTAATCGCCCTTGTTTACTAGGCATGCATACCATTGCTTTTCTTCACTACAAATACCATGATGTAGATTCACTATTAGAATAGACAATGTCTCTAAAAGCAATAGCATCAACAGAAGGAAAGCAGAAGACCAAGAGAAGAAACTGGAAGAAACTTTAAGATCTGCAGTGAGACGGTTCAAAAGCTAGGAAAGTCTGCATTTTGAAGAGTATCTCTTTTTCACCTCTTTTTCTGTGAGTACTGCCGGTAATTAAAATAACACCATGAAGAAATGGCAAATGTTTCACTGATCAGGTCCCAAATAGGTGTGCTGCACTGCAGAAGGCTGCTGCTAAGAGTCCCAGTATTTTAAAAGGCCTCTGCCAGAAGTCCATTAAAAAAAGTAGCAAGAATAAAACGTCTGCAGAGTAAGTTAGTAATCATTCAATTCTTTGGACAGAAAAGAACATAGCAGAAAAATCAGCAATAAGAGAATTAATTTTTAAGATGATTACTTAAATTTTGAGAAATCAGTAAAAACCAATCAGAGTAAAAACCTACAGAGGGAACGGAGACGAGTTTTGCAGAAGCTAGAGAGCTAATATTAGATAAATATGCATGACTAGACTGACGATGTATGCCCTGATACAGTCCTACAGTATGTAAAGGTTGCAGTAATAGACATGAAATATATTTTATTACCGCAAAATTCAGATTTTTATTCAATACGTGCTACTAAACAAAAATTTTCACCATGGAAAAGGCTAGAATGAAATGAAAATGCCTCCCAGACGTTAGCTTCCAAACCCTAATCAGTGCTCATTAAAAAAAAGTGAACAGTACAGAGGAAAGGGATCTTTCTCAGTATGCATTCAGTTATGCATACTCAAAATACTTAAATCCAAGGAAGCATTCTTCATTGTACTACCTACTGTGTTACTGCAAGGTCAGCATTTATAGGCATTTTCCACATGATGGAGTATCTGGGATTAACAGTAAGCCTGTAAGAGTCCATTACAACAGAAGGCTGGTAAATGTTGACTTGTTTTCCTTTATTAAACTATCACCACTTAATAAGATACTACTGCACTGCTGTAGCAAATGCTAACATATCACTGTTGAACTTAATAGTCTTATTTAAAGTATATTCCGATGACTGTAGTTTGAAATTAAACATATAATCAGATTTCAGTTAGAACAATGTAATTCAACTCCTTTTAACTAGAAAAAGTCAACAGCTCTGTACAGTAAGACTAAGTTACCTCAACCAATATGCATCGAAGCTGCCTGTGAAATTACATGCGAGGACTGTAAAACGAGCTGTTATATAAATGGCACCTCTTCTGATCCACCTCCATTCTGACATATTCTCTAAATTGAGCTGCCCTCTGTTAGTTTAAAGTGGTCCGGCTCAGTTCACTGGAGCCAGCATGGGCTGAGCCAATATACTCTCATGTTCTCTCTGAAGGTTGTATATAGTAAATATAGTTTGTTTTCTTATGCATAACTCTTGCTTTCCTCCCAGTCCACAGTCTGCTACATATTGTTAGTTACTCATATCATAACTTAGCAATTTCTAAGAACTGTTTACTAATGAACATCAAAACGCTCCTTTCCTCTCCTACTTACAGAAATGAAAGAAAAAGATTGGATTCAAAAGCAGCCAAGAAATGCAATCAAAACATTCTTTAGAATATGCAAACAATTATGTTGTAAGTACTTACCATTTCTATGTTTCCCTTGGTAAAAAAAAATCTTTGAGAAGTACTTTTGTTCACCAAAACCTAGTTATAAGTGCTTATAAAATAGCCTTTTTATTCCAAAAAGCTGATTTGTAAATGCTGCACAACCACCACTGTGCGTCTGGAAGGACTTCACATGTTAGACAGAGGTAACTAAAATAGTGACACTGTGCGACTGAGACAGCTACTGTACGTGACAGAAGAGACTGAGCAGATTCACAGGTGCAAAGGCTGACCCACTGACTGCAGTCAGAAGCACGCCTGGTTATTTGTAGTCACTTATCAAGCCACATGAACGTATCAAATCAATTTAACATTGGGTTAAATTTGAAATAGGAAAAAAAGAAAAACAACACTGAAGGCTCTCTCTTACAACCTACTCTAAGCTCAGCTGGCTGTTTCTTTCTGTATTTGTGGCTTTTTTTCCCACCTAAGTCAAATATACCTGCTCAATTATCTTACAGTCAGACAAATTCATCAATTCCCAATGCCTAAGTACTTGGGTATTTACTCCCAATGCACATCTCCACTGGTGTGAGGTTGCTAAAGAAGCTAAGAAAATTTACTCCTATGTGAAGACTGCATTGTATCAAATTAAATTAATGAAGCCATAGGCACGCTTTCTTAAAAATTCTCTGGAAAAGCTCCCAAGCCACAAAATGAGCACAACCACTCTGTCCTCTCAAATAATATTACACTGAGGATTGTATTGCTTTTGCCATGGCACTGACCATAGAAAGGCTCCCACCTCAGTATGTGACACATGCAAGTAGGAGGTTGAAAAGGCACTGGAAGACGAGCCCCAGTGCAGGTGGCAGCTGTTCCTCCCAAGCCATGGCTGCAGCTGTCAGCTCCAAGCAGAGTGCTTGGTCCTGCTCACCACTGCTGCTGGAGACAAGCAGGCAGGTGAGAGGTAGTAGTACTGCACACAGCTGGAGGAGAAAGAATGGGTATACATCACCTCTCAGATAACTCTATTCAATGCCCTCTCAGCAAAAAGCTATTAGAGTGGTAATCTGCAATCTAAATTTTAAATATTTGGAAACACTGACAAGCAGTTTCAGACTGTGACTGAAAAGATACTGGTGGATAACCAGCACACTTGTACACCCACTCTGAATCTATTCCAATGTTTCAATTATTTACTAACTGAGAAGCTAGGGTAGGCAAGCAAGGTCATCATTTCAATTCAGTACAGTGAAGATACACTTCTATAAGGATCTTTTTGAAAATACATGAGTACCTTTATACGATTGCTCTATTTTTCAGGTTTAATATTTAATCAAGCTACATGAGAATTCTGTAAATGAATAAGACACAGCAGTTGTTTGATGTGTGTGCTGGTATGCAAAAGCACACCAGCCTTATTCAAACACTTACTGGAAATATTCACAAAGGTCACAATAACATCATGAATATAAAAATAGCCACAAGATACTTGCTTAGATAAATTTATTCGTGCATAGGCTAGAGATGTTCTCCACAATATTAACAGAATGAAGAGGTTTATGTGAAAAACAAGTTATTTTAAAACAGAGGCAGCTATATAACAAAAGAAAATAAAAAGGCATGGAGTGCTACATTCTAATTTCTGTTCTTAGTGGGCGAAGTACTGCATCATTAATTAAAAAAGAAAGAATTGACATGACTGGATTTGGGGCACTATTTTAGACAACCAGCTGTTGAATGGAATTGATCTCCCTTCCCAATGTACTTTGGATAAATAATTAATATTTTTAAAAATCTAGAAAACCATGGAATTGAAAATATATTACCTAGAATGATTAAACACGCAACCAATCTTTCCTTACTTTGCACGTAAACTTCCCCACAACCATTGGTGAGTGTTCTGGATGTCAAAGTAAAAAAAAAAAAAGTTCATTAATGAAGTTAATTTCTTCAATTTCTTTATGGCTGGCTTGCAAAAGAGAATTTTAAGTTTTTAATGTTTGACATCTGAATAGCTCCAGCATATTCACAGTATAATCGGATAAAGCAGGGATATTCATACATACATAATATATTGTAAACTCGGTTGAATTTTACGAAGTACAAAAAGACTGCATTACATTTTAGCGAATAACTGATCTCAGACACTTCCCATAAAACTTCAGTTCAAGGATTCTAATCTGAGTTATTGCAAATAATGTTATAGTTTAATATCTGGAAACACTGACAAGCACTGTTTCAAATCGCGTTTAAAAGTCACATGTTATAATTTCCTCTATTTCTCTTACAGTGTAAATATATCTACATATCTACATGGGTATCCTAAACAATCAGAAATCAAAAATTCAAGTTACAAATATTTTACACGCAAAATACAAAAATAACCTTTAACATTAAATGCAGTTATTTGGTTACATTTGAAGTCTTTCATGCTTTCAAGTATTGCAAGCTAGTATTACAACACAGATGCATATACACTAAAACACTTCATATACGTTACATAGTACAGACATTTTGTAACAAATCAGTGTCTTAGTTTATATTATGTTTTTAAGTTTTCTGAGTGTTTATTCTTCCCGTCTGCTCTATTCACAACACAACATTAGCAAGCTTCTGCAAATCAAATCTTGACTTGGCTTTATTGAAGCAAGTATGATTTCTATCATTCCTGCAAGCAATGAGGCTGAACTATTATTTCACACAAAGACCATTCGTAAAATTACCTGATGAAGATCAAATTGTGTGCTTTGTTTCTGTATTACTTCTACCAGAAAACATTTTCTAATATAAAGACAAGGAAATATTTAAAGCAATAAGCCACAGTCGTATAGGAAAAAAAAACTGCTAAGTTTTTTTTAAAAAATCTTTGCTTTTCGAAGTGTAATGTAAGAGGCAGACCAGTAAATATCTAAAGTGGTCTTTTCAGGATAAAATATTTTCTCACTTGCCAGAAATAACCTTTAAGTAATAAGCTTAGACAGGTTAAGATGAATAAATATATTTAGAGGCATAGCTACAGTTAAAAATATATTCACAGAAGTACTAACTTAGAAGCAGCACGGGCAAGGTTATAAAAATTGTGATTAGAATTATAGTGGCAATAGGAATAAAAAAATTCAAACAGTCAAAACTCAAGTATCTTAACTCCCTATTGAAACTGTTTGTAACACTGAAATATGAAAGCATCCAAGTTGCTTTAGTTCAAAACGATTAAAAGCAAGTTTCAGTCTTACTGTCAATGTATAGTTTATGACAAAAATATACATAACCTGGTACATTCCAATCTTCATTTATAAGTAAACATTAGGAGTGACTGTTTTCATTTTAGCCATTAATGATAGGTCATCATCACATATCTGTGTAAGGCATCTTCTATCAAAAAAGGTTTGGTTTTACTGAAGATATCTTTTGGAGCTTCTGGAAGCGTGTAGCTTTTAGAATACGCTTGCTATGATAGTGTTGTTGCTAGGATAATTCCAAGTATCAGAAGTAGTACAGTTACACATATAATTATGAATATCAATTTCTGGAAAAAAAAAAAAAAGAAGTTTAGATTGAAGCATCCAGTCAGATACAGAACTACTTAAATACCTGCATACCCACAGCAAATTGATAACACCGGTATCTATTTCAAGCTTAGATTTTCTTTTTGAATAAAACTTACTGCCACGATTTCCTGTTGTCAGTCATTCTTTTCTAACACACAATCACAGTTAGTAGCTAAGGAGTGTAAGAATTCTGTATTTTTATTTTGAGAATAATTATTACCCATATGCAACTTCCGTAAGTATTACATATAATAACAACCACAACAAACAGCTACTTATCAAAGTCAAATATACTAACACTGCCTAGAGCTGCCCACCTTGGATAAATATTTGTAGCCTGTTCAAACTTTTGCAGTTGCACTCAGGGGAACTGAACAAACCATCACTAAGAATACTGTATAGTTAGCAGCTCAGAAGCGCTGCACAAAAATTAACAGGTTGTATGAATATGCATAGAGGTGTGACGTTAGATCATGTTGTTCTGTCAGCAACAGTACAGTAAAGCCTGTTATCTGCATATAAACCAAAGGTGAGAAGAAACTCCAAACTAGTGTTAAGTCTGAAAAACTTGCATACCAAAATGGTGTTAGTACAGACAGTGGAATTCCTGACCAGCTGTCTGAAATGAACACACTCCCCCATGGTCCTTCATAAACATTTTGAAGACCCCAGAGAGAGAAAGTTGAGTTTCTGCTGGACTCTTCTGAGTTAATCACTACCATCTCCTTAGCCTGGCTAGATGTTATTATGATAAGTAGATCAGCATAGCAAAAGTACGAAGATTGAAAGAATTCTCACATTTACATCCTCAAATTCAGGTTTGAATCTCTGCAGATTTTCTCTTACAAGTACATTGGCATCTGGTTTCATTTGGTCTACTATTAATACAAGAGCTTCATTTTAGGATGTTCTGCAACACAAAATAGCCAGCTTTATGGCTGCAGACACCAACTTCAATGCAAGCTCTGTTTAAAACCAGAGAAGACCACACCTGACAAAGTTCCAATTGTAATCTGTATCTTAATGTAATCTGTTGATGTGAACTTGAAATATATTACAAATTCAAAGGACTGAGACAATAAGTTGCGGGATTTTTTTTTCCCCTCCTCATTTCATTTTGTGTTTACAGATCATCAGGAATACAACTGCAATCTGTAAATTTAGCAATTCACCACTAGATGTCAGTTTTCAGCATCTACATGCATGGAACTTTTACAGCATGCAGAGAGTGAGAAGTAGTCACCGATTAGTGTCAAGTTTGCTCCCCTCTCCAGAAGTAACAGAAAGCATATTAAGAGTTAGTACACCAAAGAAGTTACCAGAACAAAACAGTAGTTGATTAGTTACTTACTGCCACACTGGCAGGAAGTCATGCATGCTGAAGTTACCCAAGCATCACCGAATACCAACAGACAAACCAATAATTAGACCAATTACGACGATCAACACCAATGACACAATGATAATAATCCACATTTTCTGTCAAAAACAAGGTATTATTTTAATATCATGCACATTAAAACTTGTATTTATTTTCAATTTTTAAAAGTCAGTTTTCAGATCCCCATTCATTTTTAAAGCTCACAACATTCTTGAATTGGCTAAAATTTTTTCTAAACTTCTGGTATAAGAAAAAAAACCTTTTTAAACAGTGTTTACATGTAAGTTACTGTGATTAACACTGATGTA